GTACTAGATGTAGTCGTAATTGTAATACTAATCACACTCCATGTAAATATTGTACTTGTGTAGTTTAAGTTTTCTTTCTTTTGATTTATTTATTTAAAAATGCACCAAGTAGTCGAGGCACTTGTAAGTGAGTCGTCAAAGCTTAGCTGCAATAGTACTTACGACTATATGTGTGTATATATATATGAACTACCTAACTGAACAATCAAGAAACCGAATAGAACTAAATACATACTTCAAACGGGATGTCCCCACAACTGACGCACTTTTTCCCCTACTCCCCACACCGAATCAATCAGTGACACACACAAAACACACACACACGAGGATACCTAAGTATACTATCTGAAAAGAAGAAACAAAAAATATATATATTTTATATACTTATATATCATACACAACTTATATGATAAGTGTCTACTCTTTTCCTTTTTTCGTCTCTTTTTACGCTCTGACATTTCATTTTCCAACCAAACCACCACAACCAACCGCCAACCAATGCGCATTTTAACCAATCCACCACCACCACCACCACCACACGCACACCACAAATTGTAATGTGAAACCACCAACACAACAACAACAACAATTCCCCCACCACCAACAACCAAAAATCAGAGCGTACCAGTACTACGCACATTTGGCGGTCATCACATCGCGTAGCGGGAGCGGGAGAGGGAACTGGTGGTTGTGGCTAGCGCCACAGCAACAGTTCCTCAAGGAGTAGGAGCACCAGCACCACTGGGAGCACCGAGCTGCTCCTCATCGACAGCCACGCCATCGGGTACACCACCAATGCTGCCACCGCTGCCCAACGCTTTCATTGCCATCAAAACGAAGTCCGAGTGCAGCAACAGCAATCACAGCTATAGCCACAGCAACAACAGCAACAGCAACAACAGCCTCACGCTGCACAGTGGCAACAACAGCTTCAAGTCGAACGGAAACGGAAATGGTAACACTAATGGCAACAACAACACGAACCGAAGATCCCCACAACCGCAGCAGCCACCGCCGCTGCCGATGAAGAATGGATCCAAGCAGCAGGTCAATGTAGAGTCGCACTATCAGCATCTCAGCTACAATGCTGGCCCCCACATGCCACATCCCAGTGGCTCCAGCACTCGCAACACACTCGATCGCAAGCAGCAGAGCGGCGGAGGCGGTGGCGGTGGCGGAGGCGACTACTGCACCCAGATAAATCCACACTATCTGCAGACATTCGACAGCCTGGATCACTACAGTGTGGCCACAATGCAGCAGCAGCCGCTGCGCAGCCAGTCCAAGTCGCAGATCTACAGCTACGGTAGCAGCGGCACTGCCAGCGACCACTCGAATCCCCAGCTGCATGTGCAACAACAGCACCACAGCCTCAAGCACACCAAGCACGGAGGCAAGGGCCACAAGAGCGGCAAGCATAGCTCCAAGAATGGAGGCAGCAACAGCAAGTCGCAGGACGACTTCAAGGCCATGCACAAACAGCAACAGCAGTCCCAGCACCAGCACCAAAAGTGCAACAACGGCAACAAGGCAATCAAGCGGAATGGTTGCAGCAATCAGGTGCTGCCCCAGCCGCCACAATTGCAGCAGCAGCCACACTACACGAGCTCCAGTGATAGCCTACCATTTGATAATAACTATTATTAGACGCACACCCCCACACACGCACACACTCCGCTACTGTAACACGCAACACTAACGCTAACACGCCACACCCACACCCACACCTACACCTACACCTACACATATGTAGCCCGCGCTTCGTTTGGTACAGGGTGTTCCAAAAGTTCAGTTGGAAATCGTAGAATTCATTAGGTTTCATTAAAAATCTGGATATCAATCTTCAGTCTAGCAAATATGATTCCAAACATAGTAAATTGGGTAATAAAAAAACCCTTTGGCTTGTTGAGATTATCTCCTCTTTTAAAGTATACATTTCAGCTCACGATTTATGGATACAAATACAAATTCTCTACCATTTTTTAACAACATCCAATGCAGCCACTAAAAGTTTTTGCGTACATTGGTTTTACCTTCCCCATTGATAACTCTTTTGTGGAATTATTCACTACTCTTTTTTTTCCATCAATATATGAAATGACACTACAAGAAAATGAAACTTCAAAAAACTGACGGCAGAATGAAAAAAACTTTCATACAAAAGGGAAGCGCTTCCTTCTACCATAATTGGGAGCCTAAAATTGGGACACAACTTAGGGACACCCTCGCAATGCCATACAACAATCAAAGAACAGATAAACATACATATGTAGACAGTGTAACATCCTGTGTTTAGGCTCATCAAATGGTTCAAAGGCCTCATTTGATAGTCCACAATCATGCTGAAAACCAAGCTGTAATATGCAATGACACATGCTCTATGCCCCCCAACCAATTCTAATTCCGATTTAATTTTGTGGCTGCTGCTACGACGAAATTCATATACATAAAACAAGTACATACATGGCTTAAAAAGGAGATGTATATACATATGTGCATTATATATGTATAACTCTTCAATTGTGAGGCTCGGCAGCTGTTTGTGTTGTTTGTTGTTTCATTGAATTAAATATTTAAATAGTCTATAAACCAAATTTAGTTGATAGGCAAATGATTTCAATGCGAGAAAAACACAATGAGAAACTCGCAAAATAGTTTATTGTTTAATGTTTAATGTGTATATAGAATGGATAAGAGCTCTATATAAAATAGTTATGTATTTATTGTAGATGTAAGCTATGAATCCTCGGCCCCCCCCAACCACCTGTCCACCTGCCCAGGACCCGCCCAATGCCCCCGAAAGTCCGGCCCCCGCCCTCTCAGAAAAGCTCACCAGCCACCAAGCACAAAATCAAAAAAATTACACCAACAGCAGACAGTACGAGTGTCCTTGTCTGTGTGTTTTCTCGGCTCCAACTCGATGCTAATCAGAATTATTTTTTTAAATTTATTTCATTAACGAATTGCTTGAATTATCTGCCAACAACCACACATACAACAACAACAACAACAACAACCACCACACATACAACAACCAACAACAACAATGCTTACACCAACATCCTCCCAAGCAGTCCACCAGCCATGCCACAGCCAGCGGCCACGATGAGCGGGGCAACCTTCTCTGGCAGCAGGAGGCCTCCGAATTCGTTGAGCAATTCCCCACAGATCCAGTGCGACGGTGCCCGGTGCCACCACTGCGCCACTGCCACGCCCACGGGCATGGCCATGCCACGCTGGGCAGACGCAATGCGGATCTGTTTAGCGGGGACCTGGGCATCCCGGAGATCAGCACCCATGTGGGCAGCGTTGTGCACACCTTCGAGACGCTGGCCCTGCAGCGTCGACTGGCCGAGGCCGAGCAGGAACGGGACCGGGACAGGGATCGGGACAGAGAGTTAAGTAAGTACGAACCGAGTGCCAATGGCAATGGCAATGGCACTACCCAGAGCAAGTACAACCAGCTGAAGCGCCGCTCGCAGGAGATGCGACAGCGCCTCATGCAGCAAATGCACCGCCAGAAGCTGCAGCAGCAAGCACGAACACGGGCCCAGTCCCAACCACAACCGCAGGCACAGACACAGCCACAGCCACAGCCACAGGCACCATTAACCAACAGCTGTAGCACCCAGACGCTGGCCACTGCCCATCTCAGGCCGCGTCTGGCCCGTTCCACGGAGCAGCTGCAGCACCAGTCCACCTTCGAGGACTACCGCAAGAATCTGTTTGGCACGCTGACGCGGCCCAGCAGTGTGGAGGAAGAGCTGCAGGACGAGTCCTTCATTGTGAACGCCGCCTTCGACGAGATCTTTGCCCACTACGACGACGACTCCTCGCAGGAGCAAGAGACAGGAGGCATGACGCTGACCAACACCGATGACCTGTTCGAGGACGAACACATGCTGGTGAGCCTCAGCGAGCTGGACGACGACGTGTTTGCCAGCAAGGCGCAGACAGCCTCAACCACACCCACCACGAGTGCAGCTGGGCGAACGCCCAAGCATAGTACGCCACAGCTGAATCTCAATAAATATCCGGCGCCGACTCCCCCACGCTCCAGGACGCTGACCAATCTGTTTGAGCGCCTCAAGTCGGAGCAGCATCAGCGGCTGCAGAAGTATCCCGCCGAGACGCAGCTCCACCAGGCGGCTGACTTTAATCGCGGCTCCACGCTGAGCAAATCGTTTGTGCAGCAGCTGAGGCGACCCTCCCACAAGCAGAAGCGAGCACCCAAGCCACCGCCCAAGCCCAAGTCGCGCTCCCATGTGGCCATCGCTCATGTGACGCCACTGCGGCACGCTCTGATCTTCCCCAAGCGCTCCAAGTCCTCCAATGAGCTGCTGCTGGACGATTTGAATGTGCAGGCGCGTAAGTATTACCGCAGGACGCCGGAGCTCAGCGCAGCGCTGTAGAGGATCAGATGGAGCACAGAGTTATGCACCCATCACGCTCACCTCTAGTTGTTATCCGTTTGCTAACCCGCTGACCAAGTCAGTGCCGGATTGGCTCTTGGCTATAATGATTTCCTTTCCATCTTTTATTTTACCAATTAATATTTGGCAGAGGCGACGCTTTTGTAGGCTAAGTGAATCCCAGAAACCCAAACCCCAACCCCAGACCCGACCTGACCTGACCCACGATTTTGAAACTGAACCCGAACCCTGAACCCCGAACCAGACGTAGGATGTGGATGAAGTAGAGAGCAGCTAACCCGCCGCCAAACCGGAAGAAAAATTATAGCTCGAGAGATGTGAATCGAACGGCGAAACCCAAAGAGAATTGAGCCATAACTTGGAATAGGAAAATCTTGTCAGCACTCGTAATACAACAAGAAAACAAATAATTTCATAAATTAACAATTAAGTGAATTACATTATTCGAAACCTGCATGAAAATCAAATCAAACGATGACTAACATATATGAATATATAATAGGTAATAATTTATACATACATTATTGTACAAATAGGATCTCTGATAGAACCGAAAATCAAATGCTCTCAGCCTAATGCGAGCACTCAAGTTTGTCTCTTGCATTTGTAATTTCATCAATCAGACCCGATTATACACATCTATACATTATATATGGATATATACATACAACATATACATATATATTTAGCAAAGCAAAGCATATAACTACGTAATTTGTTGTAACTTGTAGGATAATTACAGAATCAAAGGAAATGTAAACCAATTACAAGAATGAAACATTACTAAATCTTACCTGCATGCAAATAAACAATTTAAAAACTAACTCAAAGCAGTCTCAATTAATTCTTAACTAGTTACAGCTAGGTGGTGGTCCAGTTTTCCAGTTGTGCAGCAGGAAGATACTTCTGCGGGTGAACAAGGAAATTATTTAAATCGAAAAATTACCAGCAAAGATTAGGATCCACTTACAAGCTCTACGCGTTCGATTTTGTGGTATTCCTCACCATGATTTCACAGCCTTGAGGCGAGTGCCAGCCTGCTGGTCTCAGGAACAAGATTTTCCAAACATTTTTCAAATGTTAACAAATTTAAATCCATCACTGAACTAAAGAGAAAAGCCAGCATTATTAGAGTTCAATCAACTATCAAATGATTCTTACCTTGCACGCTATCAGCCTCCTCTTCGTGTCGCATCAGATGATTTCTAAGCTGAGCCGCACGACCAAAGGTTTTTGGGCAGAACTGACAGCGATGAAGGCGCTCATTCGAGTGTATTCTCTCGTGGCTGCGCAGCACGCCCAACTGGCCAAAACTACGCTGGCAATGCTTGCACTTATAGGGCCGTTCACCCGTATGAGTGCGACTGTGTAGCTCCAGCAGGTAGACCCTGGAGAACTTGCGCTGGCAGACGGTGCAGGTGTGCGGCTTTTCCTTTGTGTGCTTGGACGTAATGTGGCGCTTGAGATTGCTGGACTCCACGAATCCCTGGCCACAGTAGTTGCAGTGGTGCTGAATCACTTTGAAGTGTCGCTTCTGGTGCGTGACCAGTGCTCCATTTGTTGTAAAGGCCTTTGGGCAATTTGAGCAAACAAAAGGTCGTTCGCCGCTGTGCACCCGAAGGTGTTCGGTCAGACTGTTGGCCGACTGCATACACTTGCCGCAGTGGATGCATCTATGCCGACCGCTTTGATCAACCGATTCCGTGGAGCGATCGCTGCAGCTGTGGCCTTTGTAAGTGCCAAAATCAGTGAAGAACTGCCCACACTTTTTGCAGTCGTAGATGGTTATAAGAGCGTGAAAGTTCTCCAGATGCTTGCGTAGGGACTGCCGCTGCTGGAAGACAGCACCACAATTGTCGCAGTTGTATCTGGCAGAGATGAGTGATACCTGATCAGCATCCTCTTCAGTCGCCTCTTCCTGCTCGTCATTTGGCATCTGTTCCGCATAGTCGCTGGGATCGCATACTATGATTTCCTCTGTCATGTATTCTTCCTCCTGCAGACAAACTTCCTCCTCCGCCAGATTTTCTTCATCCGCCAGAAAATCTTGCTCCTCGACCATCAGCTTAGTTTGTGCTGCATCTTCTTGCAGACGAATCTGTGTCTCGGAGCACTTTTTGCGAAATTTGGCCGTAATGAGCAGCTCCTTGGTGCATTCCTGGCACAAATATTTCGGATATGCGTCGGACGGGTCCACCTAAAATGAAGGCAGTTCATAACAACTCAATTGGCGAAGCCGGTGGGCAAACTCACTATTATGTTGCCACAACTCTCCAGCAACGAGCACAAGTCCACTTGCAGCTCTTCCACATGCTCATAAATGTCCACCAGCAGCTCGTTTTGTTGAAGGCAAACCCGGCAAAGAAATTCGCTTAATCTTAGAGACATAATTTAAAAATTTCATTTGCTTAATTTTTTTGCAACAAGATGAGGATTTATCGATAGAATATATCGCATGAACCTCAGAAATATACCTTCTCACTTTATAAATATACCGTTAAAATACCAAGGTAGTTCGTTCACTGCCAATGGGCATAAATCATATTCCCGGACTTTAATATTCTGCTTAATTTTACTAGCATACAATTTTATTTGTCTTAGTTCATTAGATATTCCTTACAATTAAACTTGATTTTAAATAAATGAATGTATTGTACAAATTAGTATATTCTCCAGCTTATCGAAAGCAGTTTATCTAGATTGGTGGGTCAACCAATTATCGAAAACAGTGAATTCAAATTACATTTTATTCTGATTTCAAACTGTTGACATAATGCTCCACTTTGAGTGCCATCTGTTGACGCTCCTCATCATTGGCAAACGAGTGTTTCACTGCCTCCATGGTGAGGTCAATGCAGTGGTCGCGGGTCAAGTTAAATGTTTCTGCCACCAGCAATAACTCATTTGTCAGCGTCGTGTCGAAAACACCGCTGTCATCCGTGCACACCACTTTGGGGGCATCGGCTTCCATTAGCTGCTTCAGATGATGCTCCTCGAAGCTGGATACCGTGCCCGACTTGACATTGCTTGTAAGGCAGCACTCGATCGGGATGTCTGCCGCCTTCATATGGGCAATGTCCTCGCTCGACAGGTAAGTTCCGTGTCCACAGCGCGACATGCCAAAGGCCAGCATCTCCTTAATCTCCGAGGTATTGTCTATCTCCGCACAATGGATGACCAGTTTCAAGCCTTCCTTGCGGGCCAAGTTAAGCGCTCCACTGAAATCTGTGAATTTGCCTTGGGCTGGATTTCCGCTCAGATCGATGCCCACCACCAGGTCCGGATCGGTTTTAGCAAACTCCACAGCCAAGGCCACAGTCTCTTCGGCGACAGCCACTGGCTCGGATCGATTTATAGACGGCAGCAGCTTCACCAGTATATTCGGGTACTTTTCGCGGCCCTTTTTGATCGTGTCGAGCACAATGCGCAGATAGTCCCGCCGCAGGTAATTGTTGTTGGCCTTTGGTGTTGTGCGCAGCTCCAGATACTGGATGTTATCGTTGGCAAAGTCGCGTATGACAAGCTCCGTGGCATACTGTAGCCCCTCGGCCGTTGAGGTCAGCTCGTGGACAAAGGCGAACTTCTCGAAGCATTTGTCCAGATTTGAATCTTTTTCAAAGTCAACAAAGCGCGCACACAGCTGCGAGAACTCCTCCGAGGTGTTGCCGTACACCTTTTCGGCCAGATCCCGCAGGCTATTGGTGTTGAGTGATCCATTGAGGTGTGCGTGCAGTTCAACTTTGGGCAATTCTTTCAAAAATTTAAACATTTTGCAAAAAATATGGAAATAAACGTAGGTTAGAGGTGGGACAAAATCGATAATCACATCGATGACGCGCCACGGTAGAATTTGTGTGATGGTATATTTCATCGATAAGTCAGCGGTCACACTGGCGCACTCGTAAATAAAGATTTTTCAATTTTGTTGGTTTTTCCGGGATTCTGATTTCTGACCATGTCCGAGGCCCACTTGGAAGCACCACCCTCGGTGCGTCTCACCAACGATGACTTCCGCAAGCTGCTGGCCACGCCACGTGCCCCGCCTCCTGGCTCCAGCACAGGCAGCGCGGGAGGCTCCTTGGCCACAGCAACCTTCGCCACGCCCTCTGCGGCGGGCGACAAGAAGAAAACCCAGAGCAGCAGCGAGCGCAATGACCTGAGGCGGAAAAAGAAGAACTTCTATGCCGCCCTCAAGAAGCAGGAGGATGTGAAGCTGCTGGAACTGTCGGAGAAGTACAGGGATCGCGCCCGCGAGCGACGTGACAATGCCAATCCGGACTACACGACCGCAAGCACACCCGGCCATGGAGGAAGTACCAATGCCTACCGTGCCGTGGCCCCGGACATGAAGTCGGGCATCGATGCCGCCGAGCGGAGACGGCGAATCATCCAGGAGTCAAAGTTCTTGGGCGGAGACATACAGCACACCCATTTGGTGAAGGGTCTCGACTACGCGCTGCTGCAGAAAGTGCGCTCGGAGCTCCACTCCAAGGAGACCGAAGAGGAGGAAATCGCTGCCGCCTTGGCCAGGGAGAAACTGGCAGAGGCGGCCGCTGCAGCCGAGCAACTGGAGGCGGAGCGCAGGGAGTCGGAGGACATAAACGCCATCAATGGTTCGTTGGCGCGTAACATTTACAATCTGGTACAGGCGCGTCGCTCCAAGGAGGTGCCGCGCAACGAACTCTTCGCTCCCGGCCGGATGGCCTACGTCATCGATCTGGAAGACGAGCTGGGCGAGACTGATATACCCACAACGCTGAAGCGATCCAAGTTCGAGGTGCCGGCGTCGCGGGAGGACATTGCCACGCTCACCACCAACGATATTGTCATCAACAAGCTGTCCCAAATTCTCAGCTATCTGCGGGCCGGCGGTCGCAACAAGAAGAACAAGAAGCGCGACAAGGACAAGCCCCTTTTCTACGAGAAGGAAATTGAGAGTGTCCGCACCCAACCGGGCATCAGCAGTGGTGCTGGTGCGGGTGCTGGTTCCAATCCAAAGGGCGGCAAGCCCGCTGCTCCCCTGGGGGACAGTATATACGACGATGTGGGTGACTATCAGCCGGGAGGCAAATCGCGTGGCGATCGGCATGCTCGTCCTGGCGGTGCAGATGCAGCCAGCAAGCCTGCTCCCGGACAGAACTCTTACTTTGGCGATGCTCCGCCAGAGACGGTGGAGCCGGTCATCACCAGCATACCTCCGCCCCCGAAGATATCTAAGGCTATGGCCTCGCGATTCGCCAACGAACCGGAAGGCTATGCCGAGTGCTACCCGGGCCTGGAGGAGATGAACGACGCCATCGATGATTCGGACGATGAGGTGGACTACACCAAGATGGATCTGGGCAACAAGAAGGGCCCCATCGGCCGCTGGGACTTTGACACGCAGGAGGAGTACTCCGATTACATGAGCACCAAGGAGGCACTGCCCAAGGCCGCCTTCCAGTACGGCGTCAAGATGCAGGATGGCCGCAAGACGCGCAAAAACAAGACGGAAAAGAACGAAAAAGCTGAACTGGATCGGGAGTGGCAGAAGATTCAGGTGAGCTTGGGTTGCCGAGCTCCAAAACATTCCCGAATTCAATTAACAAAACATTTTGTACATCTTTCCAGACCATCATACAAAAGCGTAAAATGCCAAAGGATCGCGACGGTGGTGGTGGTGGTGGCGGAGGGAGCCGTGACGGTGGCGATGAACCCGAATACAAATCAGCCAAGTACTAAGGAGACATACATCTATTGCTAATATTTCTTGAAACATTATTCTATATTTGTAATGTAATGCTGTAAAACTTTAAAGATAAGTTATGCGTGTGTTTTTTAGCCACATGGTTTTTATCACTATTTTAATTGCTACGGGGTGGATGTGGGAAGGGGAGGATTGGGGATCATTGGCAGGCAGAACTTATCCACTATGTGCGATATTAGCACTTGTTAAGTGGGACGCGAAACTACGAAAAAATCGTTTGATAAGACCCCAACAAATATCTAAGATCAACATGAATAAGGCAAATTGTTCAACTAAATCCTACAGGATCTGTAGAAATATAATCAGAGACACGTATATGATGAAAGGGGACAAAACGCAATTGATTGCACTCTTAAGAAGGTATCCACAGACGAGTTATGTTCGTCGAATTGCGACGAAAACATTTATATTCGACTGTGAATATCCAGCCTTAAGTTTCAAATTGTATATGTAGGTAGTTATGAAACAACGTAGTACGACTCTCTCTCAGACAAAGCCATGTGTGGTGCTCTCTCTTGGTTTCTCTAGTTCCTAGACATGCCTTAATTATATGACACTGATTAAATGTAATTACCATCATGGGGGGAATGCTAATATTAATCACTACGCTATGTCCGAACTGTGTGTGTGAAACTGAGAGGATTGTTCTACTCTTCGTTGGGCATACATAAGGGGAAAGAGAGTAGAGAAGAACAAGCTGATCCCCCCGGAACCCGCTGACTAGCTTGCACATTTCCGTGTACACACATATATATAATATAGTATCTATATAATAAATACAATATGCAAAAGGGCTCGCTCGCTCGGCTCTCTTTGGCATTCCCTTTCTGGCGTGTCGCGGGGATCGATGAGGTGGAAAGTCGCTGATGAGGAGGAGGAGGGGGAAGTGCAGGGTCTATGTGCTATCCAAAGTATCTAATGTATAACATTAAAACTTAGGTTTTTTTGGGCTGTCTTATTACTATTCCCTGTCCCTGGAGTTCTTGTATTTTAGTCATGCCAACTGCTGCCGAGGGACGAACGCACAGAGGTCGAGAGCCGCCTGCTCTCCACCAGCTTCACATCCTTCACACACAGATCATGTTTGGAGTTGCTCGCAAATCGTATCACCGACTGTGTGCTCACCTGTGGCACATGCCGCAGATCCAGCCAGATGAGGCTTTCGCACTTGGAGAGATGCTCCAGCGCGTTCTCGGAGACGAGGCGGCAGGCGCTCAAATTGAGCTCCGACAGGCGGGCAATGGCCGTGTTGGAGGTGCCTATCTGGGCCACGCCCGCGTCAGTGATGCGCTGGCAGGAGGAGAGATCCAGATGCTTGAGATATGGCAGCGACTGCGTGATGTAGCGCACGGCCACGTCCGAGATGTCTGTGCCGGCCAGCTTGAGAATCTTGAGATCACGCAGTCGCGTCTTCGAGTCGCTTAGGCCGGGCCGCGAGTCCTTGGGCGGCGACAGAATATCCCGGACGGCGGCATCGTTCAGACCTCGCACAAAGCTTAGGTCCAGCGTCTGTAGGGGCGGACAGAGGCAGGTGTGGAGTGCCAGCACCGCCTGAATGGGACAATTCTGCAGCGAGAGATTCTTGAGTGCTGGGAGGCGAGCCACCAGCCACGCCAGCTGCCGCTTGGCTATCTGCGTCCAGTCGAGAATGAGGTGTTCCGGCTGTCGTCTCACAATGGCCGTTAGCAGAGAGGCGGACATTTTGTGCGCCGAGCAGTTCATGTTCTTCCAGAGATCGGGATCGACGGCAGCCGTCGACCATACCTTGCACACCGAGCAGCAGGTGACCAGCGTCTCCTGCGGCAGATACCTGAAGATGATCTTCAGCACTGTGGGATCCAGGGCCAAAGAGCTGCTGTGATGCAGACTGTTGATGCCATTGGAGCCGCTCGTGCCACTGCCATTGGCACCGCGCTCACCGGCAGAGCCTCCTCCGCCGCTTTGGCTTGTTCCATTGCTGATGCCGTTGCTTCCGCCTCCGCCGCTGGCATTGTTTCCGGACGAACTGCCGGATGCGGCTGGCCGTACCACATACTGCGGCTTCTTGAGCACCCGATTCGAGTTGTTGAGCATCTGTTGGGCCAGCTGTGAGCGTATCGAGTTCTTCTTGCGCGATCCACTGCCTCCTCCTCCACCGCCGCCGCTCCACTGATTGCCGCCACCACTGCCTCCGGCTCCGCCACTAGCTGTCGCCACTCCTCCACCACCTCCGCCTGCAGCTGCTCCATCCACCGAGGAGTTGCACGGGGCATCGTTGCTCTCTTGCATGCTGCTGCTGACGCTCGTTCCATCGTCGCTCTTGCGCCGCTTCACCTTGTCGCCCACGGCATTCGGTGATATTCCAGGAGATGGAGTGTCGCAGCTGTTGTTCCGATCGGTTTTCACCTCCAGCTGATGGTGCCGTTTCATGCCGTGCTTCCAGTGCGTCACATGGCCACCCGCCGTGCCAGACTCCATCTCCGATTCGCTGGTGAAGACAAAGTCCGTGTACTGTCCGACAGGTGGCGGCAACAGGCTGCTCGTGCCCTCATGCCCAGCCTCTCCGCCCGGGCCATGGGAAACGGACACTCGACGAACCTCAGAGGATTTCAGGCGAGCCCGGAAATGTCGTGGCTATGGGGGACAAGAAAGGAGACTGGCATTAGCTTTCGTTTCGATTAAATGAAAGCCAAAATATATTATACCTTGTAGTCGTAATTCTTGCCGGAGCGACAGCAGCTGGGACACTCCCAGCTATTGGGCAGATCCTCGTTGACAATGCCCTTGGCATCAGCCGCATCTTCTGTGCCGTCCAGCTGCGACAATGCACAGTCGGGATGGGCAATCTCATAGCAAACCGAGCACTCCATCAGTGCCGAGGGCCCGTCCACGGTGGCCAGTTGCTTGGTCTGCGGCGACACTGGGGTCTGTCGCCAGCCGTCCAGATGACAGTAAACACACTGCGCGGTCACTGGCAGCATGGGCGACAGGCACTGGCGCATCATGCACGTCTGCTTGGCCCGTCCCGGTCCACCGAACTTGACCATGTCCATGCAGAAGGGGCAGGTGCCGCAATCAGAGCGCTGACAGGCGGCACAGTTCTTGCAGCGCGTGCGGCGTCGTCTCGGCTGGCCGGTGCCCGTCAGATGTGGCGATAGCTTGGCCCCATCCCCAGGCGAGGGACAGTTATTGTCCAGAGATGCCGCATCGCTGCTGTTCAGATTGTTATAGTTGGAACATGTGGCAATCACACTGATGGCATTCCCTGTGACTGTCCCTGCTGTCCCACCGGCAGACGGGGGACTATTACTATTTGCTGTAGCTCCTCCTATGGCTGCAACTCCTCCACCACTGGTGGTGCTGCTGCTCGCTGCCGCAGCCACTGCATTTGCCAGATGCATTTTCTTGGGCGGCCGATACTTGAGCGTATCCGTCGGCAGGACAAAGGTGGCCTCTGCTAAGATAAAAAGTTAGTAAAGTAAAAACCACGAAGATTGTTATGATAAAACCAACCTAGTTGCGCTCCGCCTGCCTGGCCAGTGGCTCCTGGTGTTCCGCCGCCGTTCTCCAGCTGCTCCTTCTTGAGGACTCCATTGCTATACTCAATGCCAGCCACAACGGCACCTGAGGCAGCCACTGTACCATCCCTGCCAGCCTCTAGCTGCTGCTGTTCGCGGATTACCTCAGCATTCTTGCGGACAATCTCCTGTTTGATCTCCTGCTTGACCCTTGTGCGGTCGTACAGCTGAAAGCCCGCCTGTTCCTCGGAGGCCGTACGCAGAACGGACATGCCCGTCACGGCCTGATCCTGCTGGTCCTTGCAATGCCGCTCCACCAGTGTTCGTACATCCTTAATGAGAGCCACAGGATCTAGCACGAGATTGGGCACATTCTTCTTCTGCGGCGGCAGATCGTACAGATACATGACGATCTCCTTCAGACCAAACAGCTCGTAGTGCGTGAGATGGATGTGTGGTCGAGCGGCCATTTCCGCCTCGCTGGCCGAGGGCTCTCCCTCTAGATGGGAGTGGCCGAGCAGCGTGTAAACATAGCGCGCAAGGACATACCAGAGCATCTCGGTGAAGAAGGGGTAGCGAAACTTCTGCGGCACCTTTGTGTTGTCCTCAACGGTGGCCGTTCTCAGCTGCTTCACGATGCCGAACGAGTGCAGGAAGTTGCCCCCAAAGACGAGGGACTGGGTGGGTGTGTAGACGGCATGAATCCAGCCGGTGGGTATGAAGAAGGTATTCCCAGCCGTCAGATAGACGCGTGCGCACTTCTCGACCGTGTCGCCGAAGAATATATCCGCCTGCTTGCCGGACAGCACCCACTTCTCGTAGAGCTGAAGGTTGCGATCGGTGGGCGGTATCAGCCAGAAGACCTTGCTGCCCTTGAGTATGTGATACCAGACGGAGGTGCCGCCAAAGTCAATGTGAAAGTCTGTGTAGCAGTTCTTCACCGACATGAGGCAGTATTTCTGCACCTTGGGGTACATCATGCCGCCGAGCAGATTGGTGCCCTCCTTCTGGGCATCCTTCAGCTGCTTGGGCCATACCACATCCACCCAATCGATCTGGCGCACAATCTCTGGGCTCTGCACAAAGCGATCCAGTCGCGTGTGCGAGAACTCCAGCGAAATCACGTTCAGCAGTCGATCCTTTTGCGGGCACTCGTAGTACTGCTGCCACTCCTTCATCGTCATCTGTAGGTTCTTCTGTGTATTCACATCCATCACGTCCAGCAAACGACGCGATCCCACGCACAGCCGCACATCGCCCACAGTGAACTCCTGGGGATCGGGCATCCGCAGACCCAACCCGTTCTTTTCCCTGAAGAGTAAGGGTATGTTGAAGCCATGCTGCTGTAGGAATCTGAATACGGCATTGAGGGAAGGGTAAAGAATTTAAGATTAATATATTTACTCGCTCATCCATGAGAATTGTTTTGTTAAGTTGGCAGCTGTTGATCAATCGATAGACGATAACTGATATACTTACGCGACGGTTAAATCGCAGCCACGCATCTCTCGCACCATCCCAGCCTGCGCAAACTTTGAAGATTCAAGTTTCTCGGCAACACTGAAACCGCGCGCCCCCTCACCATCGTCATCGCCCTGTGACCATTCGTCAAGGTAGAGCTTCCGCTGCTTGCGCTCGCGCTGTAAGAGAAAGAGATAGAGAGAGAGAGGAACATTACAGAGGGAGATAAGACAACATTATTGAATGCAAAGCAAAGCAAAACCAAAGCAAACCGTTGAGGCCCCGAGAGCCGGAAAAAGCCGGAGCGCAGCGATAAATGCCTATAAATACACTCCACAGAGGGCGGCGGCACCGCTAGCTTCTCTGCTGACGCCATCAAAAAATGATTCACAAATGCCTTCCGCTCTTTACCACACTCAACTGAGTGACACACTCCTCTCTCGTGGCTCTCTTTCTGCCATCCACCTCTGCCAGCGCCATCACTTTCTCCGAGTACTGCCACCATCACCGCTGCGCAGCTCTGCGCTGCCTCTGCTTTATTCGGCGTATATAAAAGCTTGTGGGGCTCGTCATTTCGTTTTCATTGGGCTCTTTGGGGCCATGGACGCACCATGCACTAAGGAACCATTTATGGGGCTTCGGGTTTTCCTTAACTACGTTCTCGTTGGCGCTCGCTGCTGCTCGCTCGTTCGTGTTGTCTGGCAATTTCCGTGCGGCACTTGGCAAAGGGCAATGGGAATCGTGTTGTGTTGTCCGGGCGGCAGGCAGGCCTGAAAGCCCGCCCTAGCTATAGCTCCATCTCCTGTTGCTGTCTCTCTTCTGTGCGCATGCACTTTGCATATGCAACACACATACATATATATGTAGATTCTCGTAAATGCATTTGTGGTGAAACAGCGTCGCCGGGCTGCGGCACGACTGTTGCTCCAAAGGAAAAGCAGAGGCAGAAACAAAAACAGCATGTCTCCTGCTTTGCGTTTATTTTGGCCGTCGCCGCCGTCGCTGTGGGGAGTTTTTTGGGGAGGGGAAGTGCAATGAAAAATCTATAAAACATGGATGCGACTCTGCCCTCGTTTGCACGAGTATTCAGTATACATGCGTGTGTGTGTGTGTGTGTCTGGTATATCCTTTTTGAGCGGTTTGCCACACTGGAAACTTGTTTGGCATGTTCTAAATGATTTTTTTTAGTGGCTTTTCATTGTGGTTGTTGTTGTTGCTGCGACTTCTGACCGAAAAGCTTGTTTTGGTGTCCGGCATCAGGTACAAAAGCATACATTTCTATGTGTTTGTGTGCCTGTGTGTCTGTGCGTATGTGGATAAAAGAAACCAAAATCCAAATCCAGTCAAGTGGTATCAGGGTGGCGTCACCGATTCCCCCACCGCTCTCCCGCACCATCAATTGGTGTGGGCCACCTGGGGCCCCTAATGTATTCTATTTAGGTGCTAATTGCGGACCCTTATCTGCCATGTGCTTTGCTCCCCTCTGAGGTTAGTCATGCTACATGCCTGCTCTGCTCTATACATTTTTAATGGGCGTACATTGCGATTCGCACTTAAATATTCATAGAGATAAAGAGTAACGCTAGAGGGAGATGGAGGGCAGTGGCATACATTCATAGGATCTCTTTCTTGTTACAAGTGCTTTGACGGTGGCTACCGACAGGTGCCGGTGGTAACAGCTGTTGCTCTGATCCAGCTTCGGTTGCTAATCATAGTCGACAATAAGATATCAAATCGGTTATCGGCTTCTGCCCGAGCAGTGTCAACGTCAGCATTACTTCAGACCCCCACTCTATCCCCTTCCCAGCTCCCTTGACGTGTATGTAAATATGTTGGGCAAGAAGAACAACAACAATGCCCCTGTTATCTACGATACGAAATAGAAACCGAAGAAACACACCACACTGTGCTCACAAAACACACATACAAATCACACCACATCGTAGCAAAGTCAAAGGCATAGCAAAACGAAAACGAAATGCCAGCCTGAATATCATAATAGCTGCCGACATTTTAGATACTCTAACTAATCCATAGTTCGATATTATATTGAATCGATTGATAAGTAGAGCACATCTGTTATAGCCTCAAGAAATGGGACGCATTGAAGCTTTGCGTCATAGTCGACATACCACCTGGAAGGGTATATGTATAACGAGAAGAGAATAACAAGCACCAGTCAGCCAGCCAGCCAGCCCCAACAAGAGGCAGAAGAAGAAGAAGAAGAGGAGGAGAGGAGAATAACAAACAGCAGCAAATATGGCAAATAAAGCTCACTGCTTTTGGTCATGAGGCATCAGTTGAGCTCCAATGCTCAACGGGAGCGAGCGAGACAAAGATAGAATAGAGGGAAAATGGGGAGGCCGAAGAGAGTGAGCATGCAATTTATTTATATAGATTAATGATGAGTTTTACGTTTGTTTCCACAACTAATGATCATCTTGGGGCACCGGGGGCTTATCAATAATTGCCATAGGTTGTTGCTTTTTTTTATTTATCAGTTTATTGATAGATGTATGGGGGAAATGGGAAAATTGAACAGTGGGACGGGACACAAACAGACGCGGGTACTCACCAATTGACGGCGCTGAACACCTTTCGGATTGGTACTGGGATTACCATTGCCGCCTCCGCCGCTGCTGTTGCCATTGTTGTTGCTTTTGGCTGGCGACGACCCCGTTTCGACGGCGGAGGACATCGCCACGGAAATCGTTTATAGAAAACGTTACTTCACTTGCAGCACAGCACTCCGCAACCGATTTCCGATTCGGATATATGTTCAACGAGCCGTTCCACTCCGACGAATTAATGTGTAATTGTTTTTCCTCTCTCTTGCTCTATCTAATCCAGTGTTAAACTGCAAAATGTGCGGAAAATCAAAAGATGCGTCAGCATTTAGTATCGTTCTCATGCAGATTGCAATCTGTCGGCTGCTGCTGCTGTCACTTGTCTTTCGCCCCAAAGAGCGCACTAACAAACTAATTACGTTTATTACTTCATACAAATTGAACGGAGGGGGGTACAGGCACAGCACAACACAGTCACAGAAACACAAACACATAAAACGGCGACGTTACATTACACTGAACACTGACAGAGCACGCAGCAAGCTTGCTCACTCCCACACACGCAAAAACTGAAGAAACGAACGGAACAAATAGCGTGCAGAGCTAGGTCGGCCCCAACGAATGAAACTCAACACACTTGGGGCTGCTGCTGGGCCCCAACCATGAAGCAACTATAAAGGAGGACTCGTCGTCGGCAGCGTTGCTCGTGTCATTTCCCTTTGTTTGCTTGCTGACGCGGAAGATTGGGCGCACAGTCCATTGTCGTTTCACTTACACTTACAGAGCAGAGCCCTTTCACTCGCACTTATTGACAACATTATTACGTTTCCCTTATTTTGCCGACGGGCCCCTCCTTATATAATTGCTTCATGGGCCCCAAAACCGGGTGAGGAAACCCACCACAACGCCGACTGCTTCTACTTATCCGCGCCAGTGGCTCGCCTGCCAAGGGGTTGCCGAATCCCACGTGTGCGACAGCCCAGATCAACGTACGCCTCTGTTCCACGGGTCATCGAGAAGGCGAGGAAACAGATAAAACAAAACTCAACTGTGGTGAATGTCGCATGTCGCTCAGTCGCAGCGCAGCGGCTACCTGCGCCCGGGATGAGAATTTGTGGATGATGCCCCTGCCCGCGTGTCTGTGTGTATGTGCGCTGAATGCATTTAACGTGATGTTTCTGCCATTCAAAACGCTGCCAAGTGCAGCGCTACACTTATCACCGTGCTGCACACCTTGGGGCTGGCTCCACGTATCCCCGTCATAGCGGAGCAAGGCAAGCACTTTCCCATGAACTTGTAGTAAGAATTCTAAACTTGCACTTTGGCTTCGTTTCTAGTTTTTGTCAGATTTTTTCGAGTCTGTATTGGTGGTGGCTCTTCTCTGCTCTGTGCTCTTCCCCTCTAAAACTGATTGCTTTTGTTCTGTGCCATAAGCGTCGTCACCACTGAGCCGCTTCAGCTATTGCCTTCCTTCTTCCGCTCCACTCAATTTGAAAATTAAAATTTTTTCGCTTGCGCCGTGAAATACATTTTAATTATAATTAATACATATAGACGTAAAAGCACTGACACAAAAACACACACACAAACGCTTAAAATCACTCGTATGTTCACGCAAAAATTATAATTAATTTCACAAGTTTCTGCGCTCGGCAAAACATTGGAAGTCGTTCGTACGCGTAAATTATTTAGACGAGCAGGCAGCGTTTTTTCAGCCTGTTTTATTCACTTATTGCGCGTGGTGCGTGGTGCAATACTACTGCGATTGTATTGTTTGTTGTTTTTTAAAAAAATTGTAAAGTAATCAGTGTGACCGTGAAACTATCGATAAAATACCGTAAATATACCGTAGTCTTAAATCATATTCCTCGATGTTAATGTTATATTAGATATTACTAGCTTGCAAAAACTTTTAACACTGAAACAATCATTTTATCTGACTGAAGACTTAATTTGGCTTATTATATACTCCTTTTTATTGGGTTGTATACTTTACTACCTTATGACATTACTAATACACATTTTCTACATACAAATATTTCACAGAACATGTGAAGCATTTAATATCTATTTAAGATTAAAGATAAATCTAATGTAAGACATATGAAAATGAAGAGGAACACCTTAACGCATTTGTCTGTCATTAGGGTTCATTGGCTGTATAAATAAAAGAATTTTATTGTATTCACTTTGATTTGAGAGAGATTGCCACTTAAAAATAACAATCACATTCTAAGTAAAACATAACACATTTGAATTCTATGTGCTTGACTCCAAAGGACAAACGTCAATTTTAACGAGAAGGGACGTGCTTCTTACGCGTCACAACGTTTATACCCGGCACTCGGTACTACATCTGTACCTTAGCGGTTATATGTCAAATTTTAAATTTTTTCCTCATCTGTCATCTACATCTACAACACTTCTCAACCTTCCCTATACCCACAAACACACTTTGCAGAGGCAGAGGCAGCGCCCGCACAAAAAAAAATCAAATATAAGCTGCGGAAGGGGGTGGGTTAAAAAGCGGCAGAGGGTCGGCAGAGGCAGAGGCCGCATAATGAGAATGAGAGAATGTGAAAAAAAAAAATATAAGTTGCGGGACGCAGTGAGTTTAGCCACTGAAAATTAATTTCTTTATTGTGGCTATAATAATGATCCAATCGGATCCCAATTTGGTGATCTGATAGATATGGTCATTCCCTACGGAATGACGGTTTTAGTTTTCTTTTATCTTCAAAATTGAATTGGCAGGTTTCCGCCCTTTTGCGGGGACGGAAGGGGGCATGGCCCATTTTTGAAATACACTTGTAACAGTGCTAAATTTGGTGGCTCTAGCTCTTATAGTCTCTGAGTACTAGGCGCTAAACAAGAAGGACGGACAGACAGACATGGCCCTATCGACTCGGCTATTGATGCTGATCAAGATCACCGATTTTCTGCCATTGTTTTTCCTTTTTTGTTTTTTTTTTAACGGTATATCATTTAATTGTTGGTTTTAAGTTTCGTTTTTGGTTTTTAGACCCGTTTATATTTTAAATATATGTCTTCAAGTGACTGGACTTTCCAACGGTTGTATTTTAGGATGGATTTTTCAGTATTTTTTTTGGTTATTTGGTATTTGTCTTCAGTCTACAGTCACATTTGGATGAGCCATTTTACCTGATAACATTGAAGAATTTGAAAAATAGCGCTCGAAATAAAAGAGAAAAGAAATTCTATTGTTTTTCTGAAAGGGAAAGGGGACATAAGTAAATATTATAATAAGCTTGGAGTGGTTTGGGGTACTTCTTCTATATTTACAAGATAATTGGAGCTAGTCTCCGGCTTATACATTTAAAATACTCCTTTCTTTTTCTAAGGAACAACGGATAATGATGAAAACATCACATAAATCACCGATTTCCTGGAATTTATTTATGTTCTTTTATTTTTATATACTCTCACTCATTTTCTACTCCTATTAAGGTATGGAAATTTCAAGTTCCAAAGGACCTAAGCGAATAAATAATATAAAATATGTACAAATTCGTTTAAATTTCAGGAATCAAATATAGATGTTACTGATTAGATATCTCACGTTTCTTCTATTGGCTATTCTATATCGTGCACTCGTAACACAAATGTCGGTGCTTAATTGGACAGCTTTAATTCACGATTGACTCACTTAAATATTGGACAGCCGTGGGTTGATCCGAAATTATTTTGTCAGCCTGCTTTCAGTTTGTTTGGGGGATCTATGGACATAATAACCACTGACTGTCGTTTCAATTGAATTCGACGCCTTCATAATTTGATTGTCACTGGGTATAGACGTTACATGACTATTACACAATGTTCAGAAAAGTATACTGGGAAGGCTGTAAGGGGTTTGTGACTGACATCAAAATTGGACATCCTATAAATTCATTATTTTCCCGATTATTACCAGGTACTTATAATCTGTGCTCCCCCCTCATAGATGTAGATCGGCAGGATTAAAACCACTTCTAACCGATCTACACGGATCGCACAATACACCGTCCATAGTCATAGATCAAATAAAACCCATTACCTACCCAAATTGCTGGCCAGCAGTAGGAGTAGCATCATCATTATCATCTTGTTTTCCCGTCATTGTCATATCTCTCTGGCGAAAACACAGCCAAGTGCAGTCTATGTTTACTAGAATGCTTTTTAATACTCTCATCCACATATATTTTCGAGTGTGGGTAGAGCTGAGAGCTTCTCGTCAGCACAATAGATCATATAAGCGATATATATTCGTAAATGTGCTATATACATTTATTTGTATCTGTGTGGGTCGCTCCGGTGCGGCTATTGTTCGCGAGAGCTGGGCTTTGGGCTGCGGCCCCGTATATAAAGGTGATCAATTTCGTTGTCTAAAATTTAGTTCAAATATAACCTGACTCGAAGCCGGTTTTGCGACAGTTTTCGTGGAACCTTTGCTTATTTGTACACACAATGCGTTTCGCTCTGTTTGCTTTTCTAGGTAAAGTCATCATACCTATGAGGCGCACGCTATAAACGCTCTAATCACTGTAAATATTCTTCAATTCAGCCATGTGCCTTTTGGCCTTTGTTCTGGCTGTGCCAGCCAAGGACACGAAGAAGCAGGCCAACAGCTGCCAGCGATCCTGCGGAGATGACTACGAGCCGGTCTGTGCCAAGTCGAAGAACAGCAGCAAGGAACGTCTGCTCACCTTTGGCAGCCCCTGTGTGATGTCCAACTATAATTGCCAGCATGCCGATGATCGTAAGTGTTTCACAGTCATCATGCAGTATTTGATCTGCATTAAATACTTTTATTTGCAGCCTTTGAGATGAAATCAAAGGGCGAGTGCGGCGGTGGAGTGAGCGTCCGCCTCTCCTAAGGTTCACATTCCACCCCAGTGGACAACCGATTTGATGACTTGTAAACTTCAACAAGAGCAATAAATTATATTCATATGTTTGTATTCCAACGGGAACAGTTTATTTCTCTTCGAATGAAGGCGTGTCTACATTTGCAAAACAAAACACAAAATTTTAGCATTACAATTAGATCTTCCCCTTAAAAAAAGTCACACTCCTAGACAATCATTCAAACAAAATCGGTGTACTTCAACCATCACTACCCATGTGGGTCCGCATTCATTTATCAGCAGTCACTCGACCAATCTGTAAAATCAGAAAATGAATCAGTTTTTATGACTGCTTTCAGAGAGTACTTACCACTCACAGAGCCTCACAAACTACGATCTAATGCAATAGAGACTAAGTATATATTATATTTTATTGTATTGTAGATTACTCATAATCGTTTTAGTAGTGGTTCCTTTATGTAAGTATGTTTCTTATAGAATACGCTCCGACCACATTCACAGATTCGCTTTAGTTGGCTGCCTTCTTTTGCTGCTTGACCTTGTAGTCGGCCAGCGCGGCCTTGATGGCATCCTCGGCCAGCATGGAGCAATGCAGCTTGACGGGGGGCAGACGCAGCTCCTTGGCAATGTCTGTGTTCTTCAGCTGACCGGCTTCGTCAATGGACTTGCCCTTGACCCATTCGGTGGCCAACGAACTGCTGGCAATTGCCGAGCCGCAGCCAAAGGTCTTGAACTTGGCATCAACGATTTTTCCATTTTCATCTACCTTAATTTGCAGTTTCATAACATCGCCACAGGCGGGTGCTCCCACCAGTCCGGTGCCGACAGTGGTGTCCTTCTTGTCCAACGATCCCACATTGCGCGGATTCTCGTAGTGTTCAACGACCTGGGCAAAGGAGGAAACAACAACGTCTGGTTATTCACTTGTCAGCATGTTATCATTGTTATCTGTTTGAGTGCCGCAAGCAACGCGCTGTCTCGGAAACCGAAAACAAATTCCTTATTCTCATATACTATATAAAGCTATAGATATTACGAAAGAACCTTCCGGGTGGTTGCCAGTACGAAATCCTGAAGACAACTTACATTCTCGTGATACAGGGCCACGGGGACACTCTGCACACGCTTCAGCTGAGAGCGCAGCAATTTGCTTGTGTTTCGAACCAGAGACATCTTTAATTTTCAATTATTCTTTTAGTTTTATACTTTAAGTCAATTATGGCACGCTTTGTTGTGAAATTCTTTCTATTTTTTTTTTTGGTATTTAAATGGCTCATTCCGTGTGACTGTTCAAACTTAACACACTGAACGCCCGTCTTTTAAATAGGTAAGCACCTTGTCCAAATTGGCGAAATAACTCTGCTTGTAAATTTTTGTTCTAGCCACCCATCCCCCTGTTACATTTAACTAAACTGCTTTCAAAATCTTTAATTTCTTAGTTTGCACTTTGGTCAACTGAAGGTTAATCGGTCTCGGTCAATGACACTTTAATCGATTTTAATATTCTGTTTAATTTGTAAGCATTCCAACAAAAGGAAGTCGTCAAAAATTGGTTAATCTTTTGGAGAATTGATTGATAAATCGGATAAAATTATAGTTTTAGGGCGGAGACTCTTAAATAGCTAGAAATATCGAATAGAAGATTAAAATCGAGGAAATGATTTAAGATTTACGGTATATTTACAGTATATTTTGAAAATGCAACTTTTTATTTCCGAGGGTCTGTCGGTAACTTTTAGCGATAATTCCGCGGTCACACTGTTTCAGAAGTAAAGGTTGAAGTGGGAAATGTTTAAACTTTATGGCTTACATTTTAAGCACGAAGGAATAAGAAGTGAGGCGTGGTAAAATGTATGTTGTGACCAAGAAGAGTTGAGCATTCCACAATAACAATTGTTTTTTCTCATTGGCTATTGGCTGTGCTGTAGGTCAAAGAACAAGAAAGATGAAACGACGCTTGAGTTGGATGACATCTTAAGTGAATCCATAACAAACTCGAATAGGCTTGCCGCATTCTTGCAGCGCAACGCAGCCCAAAAGCCCAGGCCCAACCTCGTCTTTGGGAAGTTCTCCTATGACCTGGACTTTGATGTTCCGCTCACAAAGAAGCCTCAAAAAGGCACGCAGGATAACCAATTGAGACCCAATGCGAGCAGCATTGTTGCAGCAGCGTCTGAGCCCCCCGCCTCGGACGAGCCACAGTCGCCTCCCAACTTGGTATCGCATGAGAATGTGCCACGGCGTTCAGCCAGACATTTGCCTTCACCCACCCATCGGCGTCTTCCCGCACTTGGTGGCACTGGCGGCCATGTTCCTGTCTCTGATATGCTGCGTCGTCTTGCTATTCAGAGGCACTCGCGGAGCTACGGGCCTCGTCAACTCTTGCAGGACTTTAATGGTGTAGCTAATCTAACATGGAGCTCCTCGAGCTCCTTTCCCTTTGTAAGTCACAACAGAATCAAAGCCAATACCAAAAGGTTGTATCAATTAGTGTATGCAATTCTACTTGTAGGTGCCAGAAATAAGCAGCACTCGAAACTGCCCGGACGAAATTCCTGAGAATCAACCAGCGTCACAGACACAGCCACAGCCAGTGTCGGAGCCACAGCCGATGGATGGACCGATGAACCCTGGTCTGGGTGGGCAACGGCTTCCTTTGTTTGAAAATATTATGCTGCGGATGAGCCAAAGTGCGGGAGTACGATCCTCGCTGCCAGGATCACGTCCATTGACTCCCTCTGAGAGTAATCGAACCTATACGAGCGGGGAGAGACCAATGACTGAGAATCTGCAGCAATCACGATCGTCGCCTAATACTTCACCCTCGAAATATCCATTGCTGCGGGTGAGACGACTTAACAATAGTATTCCACCAGGTACCTTAAACCGTCTGCACAAATCTGAGCAGGAATCGGCACCGGTGGAGGATTGTGTTGTACCGGGATCACAGTCCCAGCAATCTCAGCAGTCCCAGCAGCCAGCCGAAATTGTGCAAAATCTATCGAGGAGTGGCAACGTGCTAGTTATACCAATGGGTGTGGCCTCTGGTACCAAGCCAAAAGCAGCAGAGGCTTTGCCGCAACCACATTCGCCGGCTCCCAAATCATCAAAGTCGAAGACAGTTTCCCATAGCAAAACACTTCAGGTTGTTGAGGACTTGGACGCAATCATGACCCACGATGAATGCGACGAACAGCCAAGCCAAGAACAAGGGTGTGCTGCGCCGGTCGGTGGTAACACTAACAGGCAGACTCGAAGACGCACGCGAAACAATCGAAATCCCATCGAAAGCAATGACCAGGAAAGTTCCATCCAACTGCTTAACCTTCACCGCTCCAATGCATCAAGCAAGACGAATCGCAAGGGAGCCAATGCTTCCATCTTGAATAAGGTGCCCTGTACCGCAATCAATGACAAGGCGTTTGCCAAGGAGCTGGAACGGATGAGCTACCATGAGATTATTGACTTGCGTAAGAGAAACTCCCTCGGCTTGGTTTATCCGCTGAATGGGAAAAGGGAGAATAGTGCAGAGCAGCAAAAGGCTCTGGAGCAGCAAATTCAGTGTGAGCTACTGCAAAGGAATGTGAAAATTGAAATGGAAACAGAAACAGAAACTGAATCATTGTCCAGATCTGTATCTGCAGAGCGCGAAGAAATGGATTATAGGGAGGAGGTTATGGCTATGCCTCCGCCTGTACCCTTCGCCTTCAAAGACAATTCCCAAAGACACCGCCGCGGTCGAGAGGCTCCAATGGTAGGTAATCAAACCCAGCACAGGACAAAAAATGTAATTTCTTTTTTAATTTTAGACAGCAGAGCTGGTCAACTACGCGGAGCTCTCAAAAACCACTGAGTTACGTCGAAAACCATCAGGAAAACGCAGCCTTTGCACCAAGGGTGGCGATGTCGACTCGGTGTCGCAGGAGAAGCAGCCAAGGCTGCGTCCCACCCGGCTAGGGCCTACTCTTGGTGTGCGGGATTTCAATGGGATCAGGGCAACCCCGCAGGATTCGAGCGATGAAGACACTCCCCTCTGCCATTTGAAGGAGCAGAATAATAATTTAAACGAAATTGCTTCCCCTCTACCAGAGTTTAATGACAATAATGATAATGAAGTGGATGGGGCAGATTGCTCTTCCTCGGGGTATGCCCAACATCGACATTCCAAATCTCCACTTCCTCCAGTGGAAAAATCAAAGGCAAAAAGGGAGCTGGAAAACTTAAAGATCTCTTACATACATGACGAGGTGGAAGTGGACTTCAATGAGACTGGTGAGTGGTGGCGAACGATAATGCACTATTACAATATTCTCATTTATTTTCTACGGTAATACGCAGGCAATCGGCGGTCAAAGCGTGGTCAGGTACCACTGAAAAACCTTTTTTGCCATAGCATGGATCCCATGAAGTTTGAATGGTTTCGCAAAACGGTGGATCCATATGATAGGAAAGAAGCCAAACCGTCGTTGAAGCCACGACGGCCAAAAAAAAGGCAAGATTCAGCAGCGGCTGCCGTAATGCCTCTAACTCATGCCATGGAAACACAAACTGAAACTGAGCCGCAACCCGATTCCGATCCCGATCCAATACCACCAATAAGGACACCAAGTCCCAGCATTTCAGATGACCACCAGGCTGCTTACATGCAACTCATGAGCTGGCTGCGAGGCCACAGTAGCAATCCGCCAAGCTTCAATATGGAAGACTGCAGCGGGAGCCGGGTAGGAAATACAGTCTGTAAGTACGAGTATATCACGTTCTTTATTTTGGCTTCATGGTGATTTTGCAGCTCTTGCTAGTGAATTAGATTTCACCAACTATGATGGCATTGAGTATGCTTTCTACAAAACCAAGGAGAAGGGGATACTGGGGTACATGCGCTTCCAGCCGCTGCAGACTTGTAGAAAGAAACTTGCTAAGAGCGTTTCCCTGGTATGCATACAACCAAGAATTCATTGGAATCTGTTTCTAAATAGTTTATGACAATTATCTCCTTTATTCCTGGTTTAGAATTTTGTTGTTCTCTATGGACAATTTGCCTTGAATTGCACTGTCCCGGATGTGGCGGAACGTGATCGCCGCATATTAAATGTCGGTGACATGGCTGAGATCGAGATCGGTAACACATTTATTAAACGGCAATTGACTGGCAGTATCTTAGACTCCTACTTCTCTTTCAGGCACCCGTTTTGGTTTTTCAAATTTATTGAACGAAGTGAGTGTGCTGATGTTTATCCGCCATATCACACAATAGAAATATATTTTGTAATAAATATAATGTTAATAATGCGACTGTTGTTACCTAGTTCGACTAGATTGACGCATGTTAATTGCCTTGGGAATATCTGCAACTGTTTATTTTCATAGAAATATATCTTGTAATATAATAATGTTAATAATGCGATTGTGTTATCTAGTTCGATAAACATAAAAATATACTATATAATAATGTTGTCATGCGCATGTGTTATTAATGTCTGAAGCAAATACGGGCGACTCTGTCCAAATGCAGAGCTCGAATTCCTTTGTATATAAAATCTATTTTCAGCCTAAAATCACACAATTTTACAACTTCTCAATTGCAGTTGAATTCTATTGGAGGATGCCTTACAGGGCTTTCCATATGTCAAGTAGTAGTTTTAAACTCCACCTTTTCTCGCTTCAAATTCGTTCGGAGTCACAGAAATAGTTTACAATGCTGTGGCAAGGGTTTGTGCAATAATTAGCTTATCTAGATAATTATTTGGTTTTATTTTCGCATAGCGACTGGCTCAATTTCGTCCAGCATTTGTTCATTAAGAACTTATCAATCTCCTCTCGAGTGATGCCAACTGCAGCCGCCACGTTGAGGTAGGGCAGTTCCAGTTTCTTCTGATGGGACCCAAAATCTGAACAGAACGAATATGAATGCCATGTTAATACATAATAAATTTGAACTTTCCTGAGAATGTATGGCCATCAATGGCCCTAGAGACTCCGCGCGTGTGCCCCCAGTTGCGTAATACTTGAGTTCCTAACGTAATGGCCACGATATGAATTTGTCCCTGCTCTCGATAACCAGTTCGGCTGGTTCGGTTGCTTTGTGCAATTTCCATGAGCTGCTCCTTGAGATATATTTGTTATTCTCCCATGACTTTTTTGAAAATTAATTCATTTTACTGAAATTAATAAAATACTTATTTATTATTTTCGCTCTATTGGAAATAATGGACATTTGAAGAACCGTATGCATTATTGGTAACCCCCAAATGCATTCTCAATTCAACTACCAGCTATTTTTTTACTTTTTTTAATTTTCAGTTTAAATATCAAATCACAGCTGATTCGTATATTTTTATATTCGATATCTGTACCGTTATACCGACAACAGTGTGAACGCGGAACTATCGATAAAATATACCGACAGATCCTCGGAAATATACAAAATATACTGTAAATATACATTGATATTATTAGCTTGTAGGAGTCGCTCTAAAGCTATAATTTTATCCGATTGCTGAATCAATTATCCAAATGATTGGCTAATTCTAAAGCTGATGTTTATTAAATTGTTTATGAAAAATGTGTTTAACAACGCAGGTACACCACATAAATGTATTTTTTTTACATGCAACTACACACTTTCTACATATCAACAACATATTTACATTCCATAATTTCAGTCTGCTCGTGTATAGACCGCCCAGTGCCAGCAAGAATAAATAGACTTATTTGCCACAAAAAACTCCACAGATTTCCAGCATATTGGCGTTAAAATCCAGGCAGGCACAGTGGACACTAATCCAAAGCAACGGACTTGCAGCAGCACATCCATCATGACCTCACGCAAACGCAGCGGCAGCGGCTCAACGAAGCGCCCCAAGGAGAAGGTTCACCCATAAATTTGATCCGCCCACACCCAGTTGGATATTACATTTAATTAAACTTAATTAACAGGTCGTCTACATATACGAGCTATTGTGCCGAGGCGAGGATCCCAGCACGGAGAGTCCCGAGTTTTGGAATGAGTTCTTTTTGCTGCAGCCGAACTTTGAGGCGCTGGAGAATGAAATCGGGAAACTCAACAGCGAAATGCTGCAGGTGGTCAAGCCAAACCTCAACACTTTATTTCAGAAATGCATCGAAATGCTGAACACGGGTAAGTCGGACCAACCATCAATGCCACACGCTTTGACTGCACGCTTTGACTTCTTCCAGAGGACCATCCGAAGCGCCTGTGCAACAGCCTCCAAACGCTGTGCTCCCTTTTCTATGGCATTTTCAAGAAGTCCAATACGGACCCGCCTTTTAACATCGTCAACGAAATCTTTGGCCATGAGAAAATGGACGAATGGCTGAAGCTAATGATGCAGTATTGCAATCGCATCTTATTGGGCGATGTCACGGAGAATGCCCGCTTTATGTGCCTAAAGCTGCTGCAAGTGCTGGTCACGGGCACCGACAATGTCAACCAGAATGCCCTCTTCGAGCACCTGATGATGCACAGCATGTTTGATGCCTTCGTGAGGCTGCTCAGCGATCCCACGTTTCGCACACAGCACGGACATGATATTGTAATACTACTGACTATTTTGGTCAACTATCGGAAGCACGAGGCCACCAATCCCTATGTGGTGCAGCTGTCTATATTAGCTGACGAGCTGGCCCTGAATGGGTATGTAGAATGTACACTCCATATTTAACAAAGCCACAAATGCTCTTATCGTAATTTCAGATATGGACAAATGATATCACAATCGCTTATTGACTTTTGCCGCCAGTACATTCAGAGCCTGAACAATGTACAATCCTCATCGTGGTTCTCGTCGCTCTCAAATATTGTGGGCAACATGTTTGTCTCGGACGAGGGCTGTGAGCGAGTGCAGCAGATCAAGGCCAACAATGGTCTGCTGCTGGCCCTCTACGAGGCTGTGCATCTTAACCGGAACTTCATCACAACTCTGGCCCACACCCAGGCCGAGTCCAGTGCGCCGCCCTCGCCCAGCAACACCTTGAGCCTCGCTCAGCCAGTGCCTGATTTGTCGAATGCCCCGATCATCGACATTACGCAGTATCCAACGAATCTGCTGGTGGCAGTCTTTCAATATTGCTCCATTGTGATGCAGGACAACAAGAACGAGTCGAGCATAGCCAATCTGAAGCTTTGTTTCCTGATACTCACCTGCATTTCGGAGGATCAGTACGCCAACTCCATGATGCACGACAGCAATCTCACCTTTAAGGTGATGCTGCATCGGGCTCAGATGCGCCACCGCAAGCTGAATGTGGATCGAGTGGGAAAGTCCCAGCCCCTGGCTGCCACCCTGCTGGACCTATTGGTGGAGTTCATTGTGTCGCATTTGATGAAAAAGTTTCCCATGGAGTTGTATCTGCTGTGCATTGGCGTGATTCATCGCATTCTGTGCTATCAGAAGCGTTGTCGTGTCCGCCTCAATTATCCCTGGAAGGAGCTGTGGTCGGCTTTGATTGGCCTGCTACGTTTCCTGGTCAATCAGGAACAGACGCTGGTTAAGAAGTGCAACATATTCCACTTGTCGCTGCAGGTGGTGAACATTTTTAACCTGTTTATTACTTACGGCGATACATTCTTGGCCACCACAAACAGCTACGACGAGCTCTACTATGAACTGAATCGCGAGGAGAAGGTCTTTACGGAGATTCATGCGATGGGTAAGCTTAGAGGATTTCGATTCCTTAATTCTAATTACTAATTTATATTTCGTTTCAGTTTTGCGTTACACAACAATGGGCGAGTGCGAATATAAAGACGATGTCATCAAGCTACTTAATTCTCTGGTCAACATCCTGGCCATAGTGAAGCACTTTCAAAACAAGATCAAGGAGTGGCTGGCCGAGCAGGGACTGTCAACTCCCACGGAAGAGCAGATACTCGATGTGGTGCGCAAGAACTATGACCTCACGCTGAAGCTGCAGGACTCTCTGGATCAATATGAGCGCTATGCAGAGACGCCGCTGCACACAAACTTCTTCAAGTTGATGGTGCGCGATGTGGTAAACGATACACGGAAACATATATACGGCTATGTGAAGGAGGCAGTGTCCGTAATACCGGAGCAGGAGGTGCTACTAACTACAATGACCAGCTCGGCGGCAACACCAACTACCCCAGCAACACCAGCCACACCAGCCACACCATCAACACCAACAGCACTAACAGCAGCGCCTGCCACGTAGGAAATCGATGGGGAATCGTTGCTGACAGACTGACAACAGACTGTTTAATTGTTTCCTTGGTCTAGTTATGTAATTGTATTTTTATTGTTCAAATCTCTAGAAGCATAAACTAGATGTTATCTATAAGATTGAAAGTGATATTGCGAGTCTTTGTTAGCTTTCATTGTGGAGCATTGCACTTATACCTAAAGATATAGTACATACATTATATTCTGTGCAAGTTTTTTACATACGTATACAAACAAATAAATCATCCAAAACCTGGCTACCATAATCCGGTTAATTTTTGACAATTCGGCTGCTGATAGTGGAGATATCGGTCAAACACGGCTAAGTCGGCGATGGATAGTGAGGGGATCCAGATACATAAAAAATTGTTCAAAATTCGACAGACCAATTTATTTGTCTAAGAGAAACTCACTTAATTTTATGAGATTTCATTTCTAATTGTTTTTCTTTTATTTATTCCCAAGCTTTCCACGTGTGTGAGTGTGTGTATATAATCTTTAATACAAAAATGTGTATAAATATTTGTATATTATATGTTTTGTTGTTCTGGTTATACAGGCGTGTGTGTATATGTTCTAAGGATATATCTACGATTTATAAATGTGTATGGTATATGTATGTATGTGTATAACTGCTGCATGCAATGTTTGCACACAATTAACAATTTGAATGCATTATAAATGGGTGTCGTGGGTGGAAACAATGTCAGAATACATCATCAAAAAATGCATTAAAATGATGTAAATTTATAAAATACATAGTAATAAATCGCTTTAAAATATACAATCAAAATTAATTTCTAGTCGCTTTATACAGATATTTATCATTTGCATTCGATTGTGTTCGTACTCGTATGTATTTCTAGCTCGATATTATTGTAGTATTTAGTTCAAAGGCAGAGCCAAACGATCACTTAAAGGCACAATTAACAGACAATATTAAATTAAGTGAATTATTTTATAGGCAATGTTCCCCTCGAGTTTCTGTTTCCTCCTAGCCCTGGAATCGTGGCCTAAACCTACTGTTAGTATTTATGTATCTATTTACAATTGCGTTCGAGGGTGTGTTTTTGCTAAGTTAGTATTCTGGTATGGATGAGTGGTTATGCTATGAAACTTAATGCAGCCCGAAGGCCGTAGCCGATTAGAAGTGATCCACCTTGACGGAGACCGTGTGGGCAGCAGCATTGCTGGGCAGATCAATGTTGTCCCACTCGGTGTGCAGGTTCTTCTCGCTGTCGGTCGCCTTCAGGGCCAGGCCCAGAGATGCTGTGCGTCCGGCACAGTGCGGTATATTGAGTG